GTCCGCTGTTGACATAGATAACTTGGTGCCCAGCACCCTGAAGAGTGTAGACCAAATTCCAAGTGAATCGCAGGTCTCTATCAGACACAATTGACTCCAGGAGTCCATGTTGTCGAAAACCAAGATTGACAAGCAGCGTCGCTGTACCCACACCGTCGATGGTGTCCGGCACTACCGCAAGATGAGCTATATTGCTCAAACGGTCCATCAAGACCACTGCACCCGTGTTGCCCGATGAGTCCTTCGGCAGGCCAAACACAAAGTCCATACTCATGGTCTGCCAACACCCGGAGGATACCAGTAAGCTGGCCAGCGGCGCCGCCGCATTCGGAGTGGGTTTCACCTTCTGACATGTCTCATATGCGCGCATAGATGTAATCGTTCACTTGTACAGTTTGGGCCACCAAGAGACAACTCATCAAGCTGTAGGTCTTCTCACGACTGGAACCCCCACTAAGTGGGGTGTCGCGAACCTCATAGAGGATACGGTATGTCAAAAATTTCATCGTGAGGAACCACAATTCGTGGCGTATCCGTTGAATCGGTGCTATAATACAGCAACCCGTTACTCAAAAAAATTTCAGTGTAACCGTGCGCTCAAACGCGCAGACAATTTCTTGTCCGACTTTTCAAACAATTTGCTCCTGAGAGCCTGTAGCAGCGCTACACGAATACTATCACCCGCCTAGGGGGCGCAAATCAAATCTGTCACTAACGACGTCACCGTCGTGACATTAGCAAGCTCATTTTCCGGTCTGTATGACAACGCATCAGCCAAAGAATTGTGCTTCTTGGTTTATACTTCACCTCGAAGTTATATTCTGCGAAGAATGAGAGTCACCTGGTCATCCTCTGCGAGAGGTGAGGTTACTGAGTCGCTGTGCGTAGTGACGCATGAGGTGCACCCTAAACTTGACTAGTGCATATTTCATCGCAAGTAATTTGTTTTCATGGACTGCGTAGTTCCTCTTCGCAGCCTTAAGCTGGCGAGATTCGAACGCAATCACCCGATCCCCCCCCTTGGCGTCTGCTTGCAGCAGCGGACAGACGATGGCAAAGTCCAAATCGTCACAGACGACACTAAAAGGACGATCGGGGTCTGACAACACCAGTACTGGTCCATGAAGGAGGCTGTCTTTGACTCTGTTAAAAGCCTGCCGATGCTTAGTTTTCAAAAACCGTTCCTTATCCTTCTTAAGGAGATTAGACAATGGTCGTACCATTGCCGCACAGTTTGCGCTATACTTGTGCATGTAGCTGGCGAGGCCAAGCCACTTGTGCAAGTCTTTTTGGTATTTTGCAACCAGCAAGTCCACAATGGCCTTGACCTTAGCAGGATCCGCTCGAATGCCACGCTTCGCAATAAAGCATCCTAAAATATTATTCCGCGCCGAAGATACACTTATCGACATTAAATTACAGCTTTTTCGTGTGCATGCACTCGAGCACAGCTCTCAAATAAACGATGTGGTTCTCCTCTTCTGTTTACTGATGCTCCGCACGACTGTGGACGAAGAAGTCGTCGATGTATGTATATGCACATACGCCCGATGGGGCCTGAACAACTGCGTCACAAGACTATTAAATGTTGCTGGTGCATCATCTTAACATGCAGCAGATTATATCGCGGGCGGCCCTTGAGGCATCACCAGACACCCCCAGAGCATCCCGCTCTGAGTACTCACTACTGTCAGCGGAATATCATTCGCTTTCATGTGCAATTTGTAATAATCAATGACCAAGTCGAGTGCGGTGTATGTTGTACAACCAACCATGTTGATTTAACATCTTTTTTAGGAATCGGTGTCTGTGCCGGAATGGTGGCAGCGTTCAGCTTATTGTAAGCGTGAACGATACGACACTTGCCGCTCGGCTTCCGGACACAAATGTGGGTATCAAATGTGGACACTTGCTCTCACGCACCATTCCTGCCTCGTGCTTCGCACGGAAAAAGGCGTCAATGTTGTCACTCTGCTCCTTGAACAGGGGTTATTGGCGTGTTATACAGTATTTAATCTCAAGGATTAAGTCAATCTTATGACGCACACCTCGGTCCGGAGATATGACCGAAGGCGGGTCTTGGGAGACAAGATTAACGATCCACTTCGTGCGTTCAGCACACTCTTAGTATCCTCTACGGCAGCTTCATCCAGAAGCAACGATTCGTTAATGTTCTTGTTCGGTTTTATAACGACCACTTCAGGTAAATTGCCTGCCTTTAAGGCACTATCTTGCAGATAAAAATACGGCTTTGTCGACTCTTCTCTATAGAGGGTTTACGTTTCATCGGCACCAGTGGAAACACGCACTTGGCGTCGTCCAGTTTTCCCAATCCCTGCTCCATCGGAGCCTTGATGTTGTAAACAACATCCGACAAAGAGCTGCTATTTGCGCAGTCATTGTCCAGTGGAAAACGTGCCACTCCACGCGCATCAAAAGGGCCTTACCCAGGATGTCTCGAACCTCGTCCAACCATGCCACTGTTGGCATACACCAACTGCTTCGTAATATGAGCAGTACTCAGTAGATTACGTGCCATTCCGCGTTCAGCCCGCGAGTCAAGCTCGGAACTCTTGTCCAAAACACCTTTGGTGTTTGACAACTTGGATACTCCGATATCCAGCACATTGACTGTCCCGGTCCAGTTCCCGCGCCAATAGCGCGTCCGCTTGCTAGCAGAGGTGGGTTCATGACTTACCGACGCTCCACTTGGAGACGTGCAGGTAGCGCCCAAGGTCTTCGACCTTCAATCGGTTTATGGGATATGAAGTTCCAACCATAGGATAAGGTCATACCTTGAAACAAAGTCTAAATCTCGACAGCGTTCCACGCTATCAAAGTTAATGAACTTGACACCGAGGATGACAGGGACCTTACACAAGTCCCTGCCGCTAAGCGAACAGTGGCAGTGTCACTCAACCGCGCTTCCAGCGCCTTAGGATACAGCTGACTTCCTTCGATCATGGAGCGTCAAGAATAATTGCACAATGCACCATAATCGATAAGGATTTTTCATGGCTTCTCAAAGTCTTTCGTGGTCGCTTTAACGACCATCGAGCTCGGCTTTCACACACGCGCCGTGTTCAAGAGCACGAGCTATTCGGGGCTGAGCCCTGCTGCCCTCTGCCTCTTTGGGGCTCAGCAGAACTCAGTTCTTTTACTGTAGGGTCCCCGAGCTTACCGGATTTTCTCGTTTCCCCGCGTCAAACCAGACTGATTAGAAGCGGGACGTCGATTCGACGAACCTTTGCGGGCCTTGCGCAATGGACTACTCCTTTAAAGGTGACAGGTGTCTCCAAAAACAACACACCGTCGGATGTTTACACGCTAATCAGCAGCCCGGAGCTCCCCCTTGCATAGCTGAGATCCATTGACTCAGGCCCGCTCGACGATCTCTGAGGATATGCATTCTGACCAAGTCGTGTCGACTTAAAGTTGATTAAGGCATTTAATACCACGCTCAGCGCCTCTTTAAAAAAAAAGACGGATACACATGGAAGACTTCCATTCTGGCCACTCCGATGCGGAGGCCCTTCATAAAGACGGTCGCTGCGACCGCCTCGGGGAGATGATCTGCTGCCATCCCAGCAATAAGAGTTCTCAACTCTTGGACAAAGTCCACCAACTCCTTCTTGTCTTGTCGGGCAGCATGGAAACGCGATCGCGCGCGATATGATTGATTAGGCGGCGAGAACCCTCGCAGAAGCTGACACTTCTGTTCCTTCCAGAAGAAAAACGCAGCTTCAACCGAAACACCGTACGTTAGTGCCCATTCTTGCGCTCGGTCTCGAGCTAGGAGATAGCTTGCGCCACGCGCTGTTTCTCGGCCTAGAGTATGGCGGATGCCATAGCCATCTTGGTCTCTCTCATCCAGAGAAGGAGATTCTACCCTCAAAGGTCTTCACGCTCACCATGAGCGGCCTGTGACGGTGGCATCATAGACGCTGTCGACGCTGACAGTATCTGCTGTAAGTGCTCGAACAGAGCATTTTCAAAGTTCGAAAACGCCTCTAGGCGCGCACTTATGGCCTCGGGCCCTTTCCCAACGAGGTGCTCCACGTCATCAGGGCCCAGCAAGGGCATCAGCTAATTAAGCCCGTCCTGCATGCCCTGAAGCAAATAGAAGTATTCCTCCATCCTCACAGAGGATCAGTGGTAACGACTCAGGAGTAGATTGACAACGAGTGCCACCAGAGGAGTGAGGTTTCCGTATTGCCGTAGCTCTTTGCTTAGAGAAAGTTCAGCTAGGGTCACCGAGCTAACATCCTTCCCAAGAACCAGTACAAGTGTAGCGGATCGCAATTCGCGACTTCTAAGTACTAAGCCTTAACCAAGGCAAACGCTTCTGTTCAAACTATAACTGTATTAAACTGTTTAGTTGCGGCAAAGACGCCAAGATCTAAACCGTGCGTTTTCCTTATAAATGTAATAATACCTAATTATTCTAACAAACCTAATTAATATAGTAATATGCATTACTGCTGGCAATTCTGCCACGTACTGGCTTCTAGTTACAGTGTAGCCACACCACTGTATGATTACACTAACTTGTGTAGTACACACCTATGTACGGTCATACAATCTTGTGCGACCCGCTTTTTCCCACTAGGGCACGTGTAACCCCGTTACAACCTGTCGTACAGCTTTACGAGCCAGCTTCGATTGGGCAGACATCTGACTGATACGACGATTTGAGGTTGTCTTTGTGAAGTAAGAAGCACGACATTGACATCAAGATAGAGGCTCTCTGAGTCACGTTTTTGGTATCAACAGACCATTTTATCTCTATCAGCCTGGTGGAACAGACTGTAGCTAAGTTTTATACTTAAAACGAAGCCTGATGCCACTCACTAGTGAAAGTCCACTCTGCTAGCCAGCTGCGTCTTTTCTCAGGGTAAGAGACAAGAAGAGGGTGCGATTAGCTGTGTTGTTAATTGGGAATATTATCAAGGTGGGGGTCAAAAATTTATCGTATTCTTAATGTGCAATATTTTCTCCGCTTAACCAGATAGTGGAATCATCCTTGGTGAACCCACCGGGCCGCTACCGGTCACCGAATACTCATAGGGCAGTGTCAACGGAGGCAGCTTTCGACTGGTTTCATGAGCTTGATCATTTTTGATGAAGCGACAGCTTTCTTTGCGAGTCTCAGCGTGTAGTATAGGCACAATCTGGCCGAAACAGCTGTAATACTTGCCGATTGAGCGCATCAGGTGGCGCCACATGTACATTAGACAGTTTGTATCCACACCAAAAATGTCATGACTGACATTTTTATTGCAGATGGGTGATGTCTTTAAATGAGCAGTAAAATATTATCATTAACGCGCCTAAGGACAAAGTGCATGAAACTTTGCCTTTGTACCTATTTAGAAATCGCCGCTTGCGCAAATGGTGTGGCTGCAACAATCATTATTAAATGATATACGACTCCCCGGTTGCCATTTTCTCTCTAACACAAAAAATAGGTGCTGAACTCAAAATTTATTTATTATTGATATATCCGCTTCGTGCTTTGCACGAAATCAAGCGTTTGTGACGTCACACCGCTCCCAGGAAATATCAATTGACATGCAACGTAGTATTTGGCTACGGAATCAAATTCATTTCTTAGCGCCCCCGGTGCCAGGGGTAACACGCGGCGGGATCATGTTCATAACAGCGTGACCTTTCTTCAACAATCAAGTCGAGTTTATTTCCACGAGTCACTGAATCCGTCGGATTGATAGGGACAGCCGGTAAACTTTATGAGTGGGTCATCCATGACAAATGATGAGATCAGCTCTTTCTTGAAAAACAGTGTATCTTGACACATTCTTGGTATATCCCCTATGAAAATTTTGTTAAGCTTAATTCGAGATTTTGCCGGGAAAGCCTTACGCCTTCCGGGTCTCATTCTCAAAACTTTGGCGAATCGACCTCATGACTTTAGAACAGGGGACCGCGACACACAATAGCTCTTGCTTTTAGCCACAGGTACTACTTTATAAGACAACGGACTACAGGTGTTGGTAATGTTTACCATAGAAAGGGTGTGAAGACCACGGCAAACCTCGAGTGATTAAAATGTTTTCTCCACTCATACCGTTCAAAATTAAACCCTGTCTCAGCAAAAATATATTTCGGAGACCGAGTCAGACAATTACTATATCACATATCGTCTTGTAACCGCGGTTCACTGCCGTTTCTGCATTCCCAAAGTTTGCTGGGGACACTTAGTAACATCGTCGGGTCTCAGTTATGGTAATTGCACGTTCTGCACCAAATACACAGCAGCATAATACCCGTAACAAAGGCACTTCGGCTTCCTGACTAATAAAGTCTCATCAAATATCAATCGGCAACAAGAAGAATACTGGGTGATATGTTTTTGACTTCCTGAAGATTCAAGCCTCAATGTCGTCAGCACGCCTTGTCCAAATACGATCATGTTTCGAATCTATGTCAAGTTCAAGATAGCGTTCCATAAAGTCAAATCCATAAGATTGTACAGGAAGGTTTAAGAGAATCCTCGACGTGCTATTATCGCAAGAAAGACGTTACAGTATGCTAATTTTGTAGCTTAATTGGCTTCAAGTGCTGTCAATTTTGTAAATTCTTGTATCAAACGCACAGCAGCTCTGAATCTAACAGGCCTTTTTATGAGTTTTCATTGCCTGAGTGATTATGTTAGCCACTACGGAATCTCCATTAAGGACAGAATAACATTGCCCTCAATTTTTACAAGGTCCTGTAGATCACAGGGCTTATCAAGACGGTCATCGTAATCCCACTGATTTCTCAAGAAAGATTTGTCGGGGCAATCTTGCATGAAAGTTTGCCATTTATCGGCCAAGAGCGAAGGGTACACGCGAGGTATAGCTTTTCTGTACTAACTCAGATGAAACAACCTCGAGTATTACCACTCAGCGCTCTAAAAATCCTTTCTTCTCCAGCATCCCTAAAACTTGTCGCTCCTCAAAAGTTAATCGAGTTTCAAACTCGGCAACCCCAACTGGTTAATGCGGCAAAACCCACATAGATGCAGAGCTCACCGCATTTAATAAGATGAGATAGATGCAAAGGTCCTGAAAGGTGGCGCATATGTTTTGAAGCTCCTTTACCACCTTAAAAAAAGGATATAACTCCAGTGCAGCGATAAGAGCTCTCAATTTTTGACCATAGCCCGCTAATTTCTACCCCCTTTACGGACGGACGCGAACTTGGTACGCCCGATATGTCTAATCAGGCGGTGCAAAGCACGCGACATATGTCCATCTAAAATTACAATGCTGGAAACGTTTTTTATAGAGGGATTGCGCGCTTAGCTCCAGGGAAGTATAATTGAGATCATGACGAAACCATGTCCTCTCAAAAATAATACAGTTTCTGGCTCTGATCACGTACGGCCTAAAGCTCCTATAAGCTACCTTACAGCGTGTGTCATCTAGGTCTCTGAAGCTCATTCTAGGCGTTCCTGGATGTGTCTGCCGAGTGAAATATCATAGCTGGTGGCCACCTTTGGATGAGTGATCGCCGCCGACTGTTCCAGATCGCTTTGGGACCAACGATGGATATGGGCTTTCAATGCGTGTCATGTTTTCCTAAGAACAAGTAAACAAAGGATACATGTCATGCCCTGGCATAAAACACCACGACTCGGTCATGAAATGAACTACAAATGCTACCAATTGCAACGGAAATTCCTTAAACACAGCTAGCTTTGGCTATATTGTTCATGTTAATGACACGCCGGGGATTTGTTCGCTCCACCTAGGAGCGAAATCGAGGATTTCTAAAGAAGACACTTATATAGATTCCTCTTCGTGTCCAAAAATGATTTGTTTAAAAACATAGTTTTTTTTATTTTGGTCAGTATATTAAATGCCAAAGTTTGAATATGCGTAATTTTGTATTCACTGCATGATGTAAAAATGAGAAGTTTTGCTCAATGAAAAGACTTCATATACTTACTAAAAAACAAAGGTAGACCAAATCAATTTATATGGAAATTGACAAGTGCTGACACTATCAAAGAAACGTTTGCCAGATCCTAATAACGTGTACATAATTCGACTGCCTAAATGATTGATATTATATTGCAATGTGTGCGTCTGAGAACTTTCATGAGCCTCTTTATATTTCTTCTCCTATGAACGGTCGTAGAGTAATAAGAGCTGGACAATACCATGGTGGCAAACATCTTTGCAATAGAACATGGATTTGGCAAAAGTCGAGAAGGGTGTGACAAATGTAGTCTCGAGGCGCCAGGGTCTGTCAATTCTCACTTAATTTCCCGTCCATTATCAAAGTTTTTTCTCGAGACATGAGTACTTATGTTCTCAAGATATTGACTCGACAGTCCAAGTGACCATTGATAAGTTGCCAGTATCATCGAAAGTAACGTGCACCGATGACATCACTAGATGAAAAGGTACTCAGAGATAAATAATCAATCACAATTTGAGCGTATTAGTAGTATTTGATAACATATGACTGCACTTCTGTGCATCGCGTAAAAATACCAAAGCACTGATACTGAGGACTTCGCAACGGAGACATGTGGGCTTTTATCCTCAAATCCAGAGAAACATGGCAAGATACCAAGACTTTCCTTCTAGTCGACCGCGCGATTCTATCAAGTTGACAAGCCAAGCAAACGCAATGGGTAGACAGCAATATATCTACCACGACCCAACATCTGTAGCACTGCCACAATCTCACTTTGTAACATCGGCAAGTCAACGATCGTAGCTGCAAACATGTTTACATACCAATTTAAAAGCCAAATTAATCATCACAGAAACTAGTGTCAATTTGTAGGTATAAACACAGAAGATTTAAAGTATGATAGATAGTATACTTCGAATGACTTTCATTTATACTAAGTGCCTTCTCTCACTTACGTGTCTTCCTCCTTTTCCGCTTAGGTATGCTGCCACCGCTATTACGACGGCGGTGGATAATCCTCCGTTCTTTGACAGTCTCTATATTCCAACGTTTAGCACGCGTCAGAATAAGCAAGTAAGCCGGTATCGACATCATAACAATCATTCCTGGAATTGTCGAGGCAGCAGCCATATTTTTAGCAACAAGAGATAACGTAGAAGTTGGAAAAATCTTATCCGTGTCCTCAATTTCATCAGCTTTGTCTTCTGTGTAATGTGAACGCATGACACACATGTGACGCCACTCACGGGATTTTTTGAACTCGTCATACCTCATGCCAGCATTATCATTTTTACCAGACGGAAACACTGCAACTGCGTCAGTAATTCTTCCTACGAGTGCCTGAGGTGTAAATTCTTCAATCGACCCTTCAATACGTGTCCAACGCTGCATTAAGAGCTCGCGCCACTCGCTAAAGTCGACCTTTCCATTCACCGTCGAAAAATGCTGGGATGATATCTTGTATAAAAAGAGAAAGATAGTGTTGGTGCAGTCAAAAACACGGCTAGTTTGGCCCTCTACATAATGCTGAAACTGCGCACGCTTGCCGTTTAAAGGGTCAAGTAAAACATCCAGCACCGGTAAAGTGGCGTCATCGAGTGCTTGGACGTTTTCGAGAATGAAGAGGCTGCGCTTGGGACAGGCGTCTAGAGGTGCGACCAAAGTAGAGCGTAGTATGTGCTTGATATCATGGTTCGAGGAGCGGGGATTTTCAAGCAGCGCTTGAAAATCAACACTTTCAACTGTGTGAGGCGTGTGAGAGGAGCCAAAAAGCGAAGAGGCCAAAGCACCAGCCAGCGATTGTAGTAAATCGCTCGTGTTCGAGAACAATACAAGCGCCAAAGGCTGGCGGCGGTCGAACTCATTGGCAGCAAATCTCTCCGTCAAAGTCGAGAGCATGGAGATAGAAGCACTTGGGCCAAGGCATTTTGTTACGTGGAGCTCAAGACGAGTGAGAAGTTCATCGTGGGAATAATGTGCGCATTTCTGGCTCGAGCTAAATTGTAGTAGCAGCAGCACGAGGAGAGAGAAGAAGCGGCGGTGCAGCAGCATCGACACGACGAGTTAATCCAATACGTGAAACGAACATAAACTGCTGAGAAATATTAGTGATAAAATTTTGCCAATAGCTCTAAATTAATTTTGGGTACAGCGAAAGCCCACAACTACCTTTTTATCAATGCACAAATTTAATTACCCATACGATTTCGAGCTTGTCCCATCAGAAGAGCACCATCATGTGCATAGTCAATCAACTGTTGCTCCAGCGTAGCAAACGGAAGCTCCTTGAACTCAACTACATTGAAGTTGCCCACAACATCGGGCTCTGCGCCATAGCAATGCTCGACCTCCTTAAAAAGTGGCATGCTATTCGTAACACCGATTCTATATTTCTGCTTTATGTCCTCGTAGCTCATCATGCGTTGGACAGCCGATTTGTTTGCGGTGTCTTGAATGTCGTCACCGTCAGAAGTAAAGTTTTTTTCCCACGTAAATGATTGTAAATGTGTCCAGATTTGTGGATCCAATTTATCCACCTTGGCATCGAGCTTCTTGGAATTGCGGTGTAGGAATAGTATGTTACCACCAGCATCGAACTGAACCATAGTCATGCCACAAAATTTCTTTCTGTACGTCCCGCGCTCTGGACCAGCAGATGCAGGCGGAAAAGGAATCATATAAAATTGTGTTTTTGCCTTCATCCACGCAAGTCGAAAGAGGTCCTTGTCGCCATGAGCCAACATTAGTTTACTGAAGTGACTGGGGCGATGATTTGCGAAAAAAAGCAATACCTCCAAAGCTATAGCGGCTCGTTTCCGATTAATAACAAGCTGACCACTTTCTTGCTCAAACATGTCGACAAAAGGAAGATCAACGAGCTGCCACAACAAAGATTCGCTTTGAATATTAAAAATAGTTCTCTCTGGATGCCAGAAATCCGGCCAAAAGATAGCACCATAGTTCAGAAATTCCTGACTTTCGAACAAAAAGGTTGGATCCCTTACAGGGATGTTGTCGGCGTCAAGAAATACCACATTTTCGAATTTGCTATGATGAACAGCATGAATTTTCGTTGAAAAGCCGGCAATCGTAGGATCAGTGATGGTTTCCACAGTCACATCAAGGAACCGCTGCTGCAACAGTTCCAATGCTATTTTCATACTTGGCGTGCGTATTACTTCGGGTCGCGAAATCCATAACTCGATTGGTAGCGTGCAGTTGTATGATCGAAGAACGCTAATCGATGCATATACACTCGACATTAGTTTAGGGTAGACCACCATGACAATGCCGTTTCCGTTGCCATGATTACCCAGTAGTTGTGATGAGTCTGACGCATTCTGTGCTAAAGCGTCTAGATAAATTTTCTGAGCCGCAAGTCCAAAATTCGCAAAATCGGCAGCCTCCGCACATGAGAATACCACATGATTCCGAACGCTTGAGCAATTTAGCTGCATGACACGAAACAACTCACCAGTCTCCTCGTCTAGCACCTCGCAGTATCCAGAGACACCACCTTGCGTAATCTGAGTGCATTCAAGATCTGATTTAGGTTCACGTTGGCCGTTAGAGATGCACTGTCCGGTTTGTCGCCAGCCCATGCACTTCAAGCGATTGCGGATCTTTCGCGGCTGATGCAGTCTAATATCCAGTGTTTCGGCGACGCGCTTTTCTTCAAATCGATCTTTTTCCTCGGACAGAACGATGTCAACTGCTCCAATGAGCTCTTTGATTCGTAAAATTTCATCGTTGGCTTCTATCTTTAAACTTTCCAGGCGATCTACTTCTTCTCGATACTCAACAGACGACCATGAATTCCGATCTGCGGTATTATTGCGTAGCCCAGCGATCAGTAAATTGTCATCTCCCGGTAATTTTTCGGTTAGTGGGTAAACTTTGAAATTCGGGTTTGGAGCCTTAGTCTCGGGATGGCGTGCAAGACTTAAAGCTTTGCTAAACGCGACTGATCGATGTACAAGCGGTCGCGTTTTGTCACTCATTGGAGCCGCCAACAAAACCGGCGCCTTAAACGTGTCTCGCCCATCCAAACTTTCGCTCTTCACATGTTCTAGCGACGGATGCATCTCTGCTTCAGCTTTGTGAGGGCTCCGCAGTGTGCCGCCATTGGAACCGGTCATATCAATTGAAATCTTGGACCGTTCGGTCCTTTTCTCCTCCATCTCATCCACAACCACTAGTACATCATTTTGGCGTATGGGATTCTCAACGTTCTTATTAGAAATTGTCTTGGATAGAGATGCCAGTGTTTTCATTGCCTTTAGTTTTGCAGTGGGTGGATCATTAGGCTTGACGATAACATCCGCTAGAGCATTTTCGGATGCAGTCGCTCCAGAACGTACATCATTAGGCACATTAGTCGTAGTAACACCTTCACGATTGTGCTCTTGTACACTCAGAGCTTCTATATTCGTCATTGCATCATGAACGGGTTCTTCCGAGTTCCCTGAATTAATCTGCGTCGCTTCCTCCACCACTTTCGGATCAATTAGCACTTCATGCTGCCCCAAAATTTCATTCTGTTGCAGCTCTAAAGAGGAAGGCGTGGAAAAATATCCAATCATGAAGGAGCTAATCACAGTGATGGTATAGCATCCGAGTATGACGTATAGGAGAAACCACCATCGTCTGAACCACCGTGGTGTATACATGTCAGCAGAGGTGTCTTGTGCTGATGTTATTTGAGGGTCTAGGCGGTTACTAGACGTGTAGCTAGGAAGTGGTGACGTCAAAGGACGGCGCATGGTGCTTATCAATGCGATGTTGCGAAGTGTAGTCGGACGTCGAACATCTACACTGCACATAAAACATTTTTGTCAAAATAAAAGCTTTTTTGACAAATCCAATTAAAGTACGTAAGGAAATAGCGACTACACGATGGAAGAAGATGTGATCACGTCTCATTAAATTTAGTGATAAAAACAGGGCATTTGCTCATTGATGACGTGGTGTTCTGGTGTGTAGATGGTGTTGAGTTCAACAGTACATAAAATTGGCGTCGGCATTTTTTAGAGTTGGTCTTGTGTCATTATTTTGTTCTGAGATTTTAGAGCTTTTTGTAATAAAGAAGAGGCGGCTAGATTAAATTTTTAGTCGCTCTTTTTTTAGTCACGCTAGCCACCCCATAACGCGATTTTTGTGAATCACCACGAGCCAAGTATTATTTACCGGGTGGAGAAACTTAAGATTTGTCTTTTGTATAACCGTATGTTTTTGTTGGACGAGAAAGAGACTTTCGATGAGTGGATAAGAAATTCTTGCAAGAGCGGACTCACCAAGTCAAAGCTTCTTCTATGCACGGCCCCGGTGCACTTGGTTGTCCTTGTCTTAAAAAAACGATCGCTAACTACTAAAGAGACTGTGCAGCGGGGTGCTGTAGCTTTGTGCTTAAAGGATGCGTAAGTTAGGTCTCCGACCTTTCGTTTTATACTCAGAACAAGTACGAGTTTAGCGGATCGCAATCCGCTTACTCCAAGTGTAATTATAGCCTTAACCCAAGGCTGATTAACTCTTCGGTTCAGATTTAAAACTGACTTTATTTATTTTTATCTGCGGCAAAGCCACCTAATTTTAAATGCATGGCTCCTAAATATGTATAGCAAAATCTAACTACATGTATAACTGCTGGCTATCCAGCCCTGTACCATATTCTTGTTTGGGTGTGGTCACACCATGCCCATCTGGTGTGACACACACCCCTGTTA